AAAAAAAAAAAAAACGTTTGCCCTCCATCACGCAGTCAAAACAATCCAGGGAAGAGGATGTGGAGGACGCAGCAGGCCTCCTGGTTATTTCAGGTGCTGATGAGCTTTTCAGAGGGAAACGTTAACACAATAAGCTCAGATCAGAGTTTACACGCAGGAGATGTCAAGTGACAGGATCAACTCCTCTCAGCATCATCATATGTTACATGGGATATTTACCTCTTCAGCTCTTTTATAAGCTCACACAAGAAATGATAATTAAAATACAGTTTGAAGACCAAATAATATGCACTTAATATTTAAATTATACACCTCAAATTATTTTACAATCACCATGATAAGCCACAGATTTTAAAAAATGAGTTTCATCTCCTGCTCAGAAGTGTTTTATACTTGTATAAAATATATAAGGGATTTTAAATGGATTTAAGAGAATGAAGGAGTGGATGAACTTTGTATGTGCACAGTGAAAAGAAAATAGTTCTGGAAAAGTTTCAACAGATTGGAGATAATTTCTCTGCAGACACTTGGAGGCTGCATCAAGTATCCGCTCTTGAAAACACCAGTTTACAGACAATGCTCTCACCAGTGTCGATGCATTGATCCAGAATAATCAAGGGTCCAGTTTCTCCCCATAGGTTTATTTGCAACCTTTCATTGTTTAAGTGTTTTAAATGCAACCAGCAGCTTTTTTAAATATATACCTTCTCAAACCCGTCATTGCTTTGAACGCTGCAGCATCAGTGAAGCTGTCAAACACATTTGAAACTTTCCTCTGGCGTCGACTTATTAAAACCATTTTAAACACTCGGGTCTGAAAACTGAATATTGTAAAAAAGGCACATTTTGATGCACTAATCACCTGTAAAAACTGAATTATTACTTTTGCAGCCAAGAGTCCTGCTGGATACTGTGCTTCACCTTTTTTTTTTCCAGTTTCCAGACCCAGTCCTCTGTGGAGCTGTATAAATGGTGGTGAGTGGGATTCCTGCCCAGTGCCAGTGATTCCTGCCTCTGGTTCAGCCACTGAGGAGTCCGACCTGTGTTCACTAACAGAAAATACACAGTCAATATCAATCCTTAAAAAATGTTAGAGTTCTCATGTTTATAGTATTTGTTGTGTTTTTTCCAGTATATTGTCCCTTTGTAAATCAGCATAGTCATACACAACAACACAGTGATGAAGGTAACTAAATACATTTACTGAAATACAATATTTAAATACAATTCTGAGGTACTATTTATGTTATTCTATACTTCTCCTCCAGCTTAATGGGAAATACTGTGCTTTTTACTCCAGTACGTTTAGATGACAGCCAGCTACAGTCACTTTTCAGGTTAAAAATCTATATGAAAACACACATGGTGATGTTATAAAATATGATGCATCGTTTGAGATTGAACCAGAGTTTAATCATTTTGGCTTGTGATCAGTCTGTAGCCAGGGATCATTGTTATTCATGAGTCTGCAGCAGTTTCTTCAAACACTTAATTTTGTTAAATTTATTAACAATTTAAACCAATATTTCACTTTCAGCTGAATTTAATCAATTAAAAAGCCAAAGAAAAGTGATTATTTGTTTTGTTCCCCTTGTTTCCGTTCTCTTTATTTACTTTTTATTTTGAGATTTAAAGTGCATTTAGCTTTGATTTTGACTTCATGGTTTTTAAGTATCTCTACATTTTGGACTTTTACTTATAAAGAATCCAACTTCCACCATCCAACATGAAATCTTTCAATTTAAAGGTTTTATCTGTTATAAAACCTGAACTGTGAAAGGTGATTGTCATTTTCCATTTATGACTCACAGTGCACTCCCTATTAATTCCAATAATAAAAGACTAATTGAGTAAAACATCTTGATGACTGATCAGTCAGAGGAGTCGACACATGAAAACACAATGTCCAAGAGTTTATGAGTCTCATGCTCACTGAGGATAAACACAAAGCCCCGTCGACTACCTGCACGTTTAAAGCGTCCGACGGAGCCCATTGTTGTCGCCTGATTGCTCGCTGTGTGTTTTTCAGGAAGTCTTATCAGGCGGAGGAAAAACTGAATGAGCCCCTCGAACTGCGGCTCTGCTGGATGTGAGGACGCTGGACGAGAATGAAATGATCTCCATTATTACACCGAGAGTGATTGCTCCCCTCTGAAAGGCTCCAGCTTCAGGCCAAAATTACTATTTCTGGCAATGTTTGCCTCAGGAAGGAACTTTCGCAGATTTAATGGGACCTGGGCCATTGTACACAGCCTTCTGTATGGCACGCTGCCATCAGTTCCACAGAAAGGAGGGAGAGAGAAAAAAGAACTGAGGGATGTGTCTAAAGTCAATTCAAAACAAGACCGGCCCGTTTATGTGACCCTGAACACATCCAATATATCTCACACGCTGAACTCGCTCCGAGGTTGAGATGAACTCAGATGCTGTTTCATCTGCATGCAGGAGGTTTAACAGTGTGTGTCCGTGTTCTGTCTGCGCACGTTCTTCTTAATCAAACGTGACAAACGTCTCTGTTCCGGGTTCTCGTCTTAGCTCACATGATGGAAGAAGTTTACGTTACAAATTGTGCCATTAAGTCAAAGTACAGACACGTGAAAAATGTACTTTAACGATAGCAGGTAAAAGTAAATCGTCCCCTCAAGGTGTTATATCATTATATGTTTTATTATTGAATCATTATCACTGTGAGACTCATATGAAAGATGTTGTGTTGCTGTAGTTGGTCAAAGTGGAGATTTCAGAGAGGAAGTTTTACAGTTTCATTGGTGAATGCTGTTTTTTTTTAGCTGATCATTTTGTATTTTTGATGAAAAAACATAACTTGAATAGAAAAATTATATCTAATATATTATTTGTGCAAAAGAAGTAAGCTATAAATAAATGATAAATAAAGTAAGAAGGAGCAAATAAAGTTTATAATGAAAGTTCGAGTAAGTATGAATTTTATTTGCAGTAGCTTTTTTGAGTGGAATTATAATTTGTGATGATGCCACGATGCAGAAAATATAAAATGACCATTAAATGTCTCCAGGACCAGACACTGGATCCTAACTATCTCTTGTTTGACATGTTCCGTATCATCAGGATGTGAATGGAGAAAAAAACTGATGATTCCCACAGATATAATGTAAAACATTAAAAACCACATGAAGAGATTAAATATAAAAGCGGCTCCCCCGGTGATTAAACCCTTTCACCTCTCCATCTCCTATTTTCCAGAAGATAGATTCTAATTTTGATGAGGATCAGATGATTTACAGAAAAACTAAATTTAATGATAGGAAAAGATGAGAGATGGATGATTGTACTTTTAGTATTTTAACAAACATCTCAATTCTCATAACTGAGTAAAAATATCATCTTCAGTAAGTCAGTGGTTTTATAATTGGCTCTATTTGTGTCATGTTTTATCTTTAATTATTGTTGAATGTGTTTAAATGGATCAATATGTGAGAATAAGAGTTTGTTTTTCATTGTTTTGTGGCAGAACAGAACAAAATGCAAATCAATTCATCTGTAAGTAATTTTCCATTACATAACTCAAGCTTTTCCAACTGACCACAGTCAGCAAATAATCAGGAAGCCACCTCAAATTAAGATCTTTTTTTAAATCCTTTCATTAAATCACATTGAGTCACTGACTTTCATAATCACGACCATAGAAAAATGAAAAACTCCTAAAATCAAAACTGATGTTGAGAGTATTATTATTTTTCAAGCTGAAAGAAACATGTGGTAAAACTGTTGCTTTTAATGTAAATCAAACAATGAATCTCCTGATAAACCGACAGAGAGCAGTTGTATTTCATTCCTTCACAGAACACGGCTAAATATCACAGTTTAAATCTAAAACGACTCCAGAGTCTCAGATGATATGATTGAATGAGCGAGGAGAATAAATCCCATTAGTGTCTCCTGCTTCCTTTTGTGGTAGTGGCTCTCTTGCTCTTTGCTCTGCACGGTCCCAGTTTGAATTATCAAGTGGTCATTAGCAGGACAGTAGAGGAGTAGACTAATCACACTCAGGCCGGGCTGCCCTCTGCTGTAAACACCCTGAGGAGCTGCTGCTTTAATAATGGAAACTCTTCAATGTGAAGGCGACTCAGTGGGTTTTGGACTAAAGAGGAAAAAAAAAACAAAAGCCTCATCAGTTTACATTAAAACAGTTTTAAGTCGCCTCTCGTGCACGCAGCAGTTCAGGCTCTCCTCTGCAGCTCCGGCGTGCCCATGAACACGCACGGTTAAATCACGGAGGCTAAATACTGCAGGGGACTAATGGAAACACAGAAGGTCATGATAACAAAGCACGTGGGCCTGATGCTGCTGCTCAGAGAGAGGTGTTTGCACTTATTAACAACTGAAGAGTTATTGGAATAAAGGGAAAACAGCTAAATGCAGAATATCTTGAGTCAAACATTTAAAATAACCGAGGACTTTGAGGACAGAAGATTTAAGATGGACGTGTTTGTGAGGATGCATTGAGGACAGATGCAGATTAAAGATGGAAGTGTTTGTGCAGATATGAGGGTGTGACGCAAAGCAGATCATCTCAGTCTGCAGCTCTGATGCTGCTCGTCACGGCCAGAATCTCACAGGGAGCTTTTTTTAAAAGCAGCGGTGGAAAAATAAGACGGGGAAGAAGATTCATCAGCCGAGAGCAGCAGAACTTATGCAACTGTGAGGTCTGATTGAACCCATCACATTTTATACATGTAAAAAAAAAAAAAAAC